TTTTGAGATAGATTGAACGTCTTAAAATATAAGATCATTTGATAAAAGTAAAATTTCATTAATGATACTTTTTTAATATTACCTTTTACATATATTTTATCTTTAATATTCTTTTATAAATGACGTGTTAAATGAAGAGCATTTTAAAAGTTTATAATATTTTTGTTTTCAAAAAGTCATATTATAAAATATATTTAATGAGTTTTATTAATATATGTTATTTTATTTAAAATTATTTCATAAATTCAAACGCAAGGAGTACTAGCTTCCTTGGTTTAATATTATGAGACATTTTTTTAAAGTATCATTTTAAAAAAAATATAAGGCATTGTAAGCTTTTTAATATATAATTAATAAGGTTTTTTAACTTGTCAGGCTGTCGTTGGTGATAAAAGTCTCACATAGCAGGAGTTTAGATTAATTTAGGCAAGAGGTAATAATACCTTTAGGTTTCCTAAGATATTGAGTGCTGGAATAAAAAATATCTTTAAAAATACCATTAATTAAAGCTGTGATTAAGAAGGTTTTTAAATTGAAAAGCCATATTAATTAAAGATAAACATGAAAAGAATGTGCAATTTTAATAATAGTTAACTAACTCATTGGAGTGTAATTAGGTTAAAATTGCTTTATAATCACCAACAAAAGTCGATTTAGTTAATAAGAATTTGACGTATAACTTATAAGTTTGTGAATCTAGATAATCTTATTGCCGATATGAGAACCTTGTTGAGTGATCTATAAGTACTTTGATAAGTACTCTTTATGCTTGAAGGCATACCCTAACCCTTAATCAGTCCCTGAGACCCAACTAATCACCTAAACTATTATATATATGTATACATATAAAGAAAAAGTTTTTTATAATCCTGAACGGAGGGAGCATCTGGTATCCTATCAGGTCACGATTGAGTATTGTTCATTAGACTTAAATAAGGACAATTCTTTTAATGTAATTTCTTTTTTATTCATTAGATTTGAACTCTTAACTTTTTCTTAAGAAGTATCAAATCTTTTCTACTTACTAGACTCAACTACTATTTACAGTGGATGTCAGTTAATTCAGGACTCACCCAAAAAGGAAAAACAACAGGTAAGCAAGATAACAAATTATATTTAATACCAGACTTATTTTTCTTTGTTATTTTTGTCTCTCATCATCTATCTTATATCTATCTATTTCTCTTATCTCTCTCTATATATAATTTCATACAAGACAGGAATTCTCAATAGTCATGTTTCTCAATATTACCTATTCAAAATTACATGGAGTTGGTTATAAATTTTAAAAACTATATACATTAAAATGAAATTTTATTGGAATTGTGAGAAAATATTGGTCTTTTTTTTTCTGAAGAAGATTTGGGAATAAATTTATTTGGTGTAAAAGTTTGTTTTGTATACGAACGCTGTTATGCTTAAAGGAAATATAAAGATTGTACCCAAAAAAAGAAAAGAAATATAAAGATGATGGTGGAAAACAAAAATTTAAGATTGAATTATGGAATTTCGTTAGCCTTAATTGAATTATAAAAAATTAAGTTAAAGTATACATTTATTCCTTTAAATTTATATAACATTTTATTTTAATTCTTTAACTTTATAAAGTATATTTTTCATCCTTTAACCTTAATACTATTAGTTTTATCCCAATAAATTTTATATTAAACTTTTAAATATTGATAAAACATTCTTAAATATTAACATATTAAGTTTAATTTTTTTTAAAATAACACTGATTGACACAATAATAATTATTTAAAACTAATGATGTTAAAATTAAAAGATTAAAAAAATAATTTACAAAATTAAAGAATAAATTAAAATTTTATATAAAATTAAAAATATACTTTAATCAAAAAATTATATATCTGGCAATGGCGTGGTGCCATTATGGAGATGGAGGGCCGCCTGGTTTATGCTTTATTGTTGTTTCAATATTTGCATTGCAGCTGTCAGTGCATAGTAACAATGCTTCTCATCGTGCTTTGTTTTTTCTTTTTCTTTAATTTGTAATATTTTTATATTCATTCACTTTCAAAGGAAAAAGACGGCATATCCTATGATACTTAAAAGATAATTAACATGTTTACATAGATAGATATATAATCACTTATTAATCGTCGTTGGCTTTAAATCAATTATTTTTTAAAATCTATAGTGTTGATTTTATATATTAGTAATAACAAATTAAATAACCAGCAATGGATAACTCGGGTGGAAGGAATATACTTAATTTGATGTCAGCCTCGTACGAGATATTTGCACCAACAAAAATTTGCATATGATTACCCAATTCCTTGGGGGAAAAAAAATCAACCCTTTGATCAGTAATTAATTTGTGGGGTTAAACATTGTGATGCCACTAACAACATGTGCAATATAACGTTCAAATCCTGGACGTGCATGTATATTTTAAAGTTGAGGTTCGTTATTATAATATTCTATCACAATAATATTCCCTCCTATTTTATTTATAAGTTATTTTTAACAAATTTTATTAGAATATCAATGAAAATCTTAAAATTTATTAATTTTGTTTCAAAAGAATTACAACAATGAAGTTTTAAATTTTACTCATAATTAAATAAAAACAATCAAATTTACATCACATCATCTCTTATAATTTATGAGATTAAAAATAGGTAATTCTAAAAAGAATATAATTAATACCTCATAGAGTATCTTGAGATTGTAAATTTCTTATGGATGACACCTTATTAGCAAGTATAGAAGGGAGCAGGATCTAAGTGGATAATTTAAAATTAAAGATTAGACAGAGCATGAGAGTCACGTTATTTATGTTGCATCCAATTAAAAATACTTCTTCCATATCAAATTATAAGATAATTTAAAATAAAATTATATATATCAATAAAATATAACGATAACACTTTACAAGTTCACTTTTTAAAATAAAATTATAAAATTTAAAAAATATTCCTACACACTGAATCATCATTACTATATTTTTCTTTGTTTTTATTTATAAGCAAAATTACAAGTTTTAGGAAGCATTTATCACTTTTTTTTAAATTGTCCCTCATAAAGTTAATATTTATTTTTTCTAGACAAATTTATTTATTTAATTACAAGAATAATTTAGTCTAATTTTTAAATTTTGAGACGTAATTATTACACTTAATCAATTTTTTTAAAATGTGTGAATTGATTATTTTCTTTTACATTTAAAAATAAATGGAATACATTGCTCCTTCATTTAGAGAAAAAAGCTTATCACGCAGTTTAAAAAAATTAATTAATTATAATAATTATGTTTGATAATAAAAATGAACTAAAATGCACTCTATGCATTAACATAAATATATATTAATTATTTATTATTAATATAAATTATGAGGGGTGATTTTAAAACAATGTAATAAATAGTCATTGAAATGTGTGATTTTATTTAAAAAAAATTCAAGTGAAAAATTATAATTTTTCTAACAATAAAAAAACTGAGGGAGTATAATATCATTTCAATTTTATTTACTTTGAGATAATATTAAAATAATATTATTAATAAAATTTTATTTTATAAAAATATCTTATATTTTAAAATAATAAAATATTTCTAAAATTATTTTATAAGTTGGGGATATTGGGCAAATTGAGATTACTTATCCAGATTAGAGTAAATGACAAGAGAGAGAAACAAGGGGAAGTATATCGCTTTGAAACATGCTCAATTAAGCGAGTGACGAGAACACGTGGCAGCAGCAGAACAGATCTCCGACCTGGACCACATAGGTGGGGTTAACTTAAAGGCACGCCTACAAAGATTCCGCGCCGCCATACAATTTCTCCGAAGCAATTCCTGTTCCATCACGATTCGTCTCGCCTTTCCCTTTTCCCCTGTATGCAATCCACCACCACCTGCAATTACGGAATTGCCCCCTCAATTATGGGCTCCATTGAAAGCTTTTAACCCTCCATTTTTTTTAACATAACTTCTGTACGGACTCCATCATGGCTCCTGACGCCAGTAGTGGTGGAAAATGCAAAGTTAAGGGACGAATATCCATGGAACCGTACAAGTTACAACGCCAAAGGGGCAAACAGCCCTTGGGTAATCAAAGACCAAAATTAGTATTTATATTTCGCCTTGTATGTGTGTGTGCGTGTGTTTTTTTCAGCCATTTATATATGATTATATGTTAAGAAAAATTAAATAAATTAGAGACATTTTCATACTGATTCTCAGTGGCACTCTCTTTTATGGCACCAATACTTTAACCTCATGAAATTATAATATTATTAATGAATTATATCGAAAATTAATATATCTTTTAAGTGTAACTTTTTCTGTTAACCGAGCATCTAGAAACACTTGGAAGGGGGATTTCTAATCCCATGGTCGAGGTCATATGATATGGGCAATGTTTCAAAAGTGGCATTATTGTTGCTCTTATTTTAACCGTTTCAATTGGGACTTGAAAATTCAGGCCAACAAGAATGGCATTGAAAACGACTTTTTTTTTTAAAAAAAAAGTGACGTCGCATCAATTATAACCCATCCTTTTTATTTTGTTCCCTTCGTTTTTCTTTTTTGCTTGTTCCATCATGCTTCATGCAATAAGGTACTCCCTAGCCACCTGGCTATGATATTGCTACATATTACTATAAGTCGGAAATTGGAACACAGAGAGAGAGAGAGAGAGAGAGAGAGAGAGAAGAATCATGGCTTCATTTAGTTGATAGTACTAGTAATTGTTACCCAAGTTTAAATGTCTTCGTCCAATAATTAATATTCCTTTCAAAACAGTATGCTGTAAATTGTAGGAAGAAAGTGACAATTGCTTAAACATTCGTGTAAAATAAGAGACTATTTAAATAGCGATGAAATTATTATTTAACATTAATTATCTAATCAGATATGAAGTGTCATTCTCCTTAGATTATATAATATGCGAAGGGCACTTCATTTGTTTCAAATTTAATTTAAAAGAATGAATCTTCTTAGAGAAAGTTCAAATTATAAAGATTCCCACACTCTCTAAAATAGAACAAAGGAAATAAAAGAAATGCCAATTTATGATTAATAAAACCCACAGATGATACTCCTGGTCCTGACAATCCACAGCTAGTTTAAACCTATATTCACCGCAGAACCTTTGTGTATGTGTCCAACAAATGAATCTATTATTACCTTTTCATCTCTCAAAAATTCCAAAGTAGCCCCTCTTTTTTTTTACATTGTATACTTTTCCCCTATACCCTCCCCTCCTTTATGATTTGCTCTAAAGTCTGAAAATGGGCGTAAACCGTAAACTGTAAAGTGGCAAAGTCAACAAGTCTTCCCTGCTCATCCTCTTCCCTCCCTATATGCATCCACGTGGCCTTTCTCTTTCAGCTAACCATTTTTTTTTGAAGAATTTAAAGACAAAAAAATCTTACACTTCGATCATAAATCTCAAATAATTAAAAATCTTTATTTTCAAAGATCTTAGAATTAACATTTTGAGTTGTACAGAAAAACCACATCACTTCAAAATCCAAGTTCTAATTAATTTTGTCTCCTAAGATATTTCAGAGAATTGTAAATTTTTTTTTTTTACTGAAAGAATAAGGCCAAGTCACGGAGGCATATGAGGCGTGAAGTGGATGAACCGTCAGGATTATTCGCCGTTGTTTTTTAGAGCCACGGTGAGAGGATCCCTTAGCACGTTTTACATATTGTCACTGAGCTGCTGCTGTAAAAAAAGCATGTTTTCAACATTCCAGAAATTGTCCGCCGAGTCCCCGCCACGACTCTGAACCCAATACTGGTGGTGCTGGTTGTTTGGCTCCACGGCTTGCATATCCAAGCTGGTGATGCTATCCGAGTAGCTCAAATCAACCGTTTGACAGTAATCCGGGTTAGGGTTACCCTTATTACCTACCGGAACTCCGCCGTAATAATAATCTGTCAGGTCCGAGATCGGCGACAGCTGAGTTGACCCGAACGACTCTGACGAAGCCGCCGTGCTGCTATTCTCTGTAGTGAAGTTACTTCCGGTGATCTGAGTGGCGCCCCCAAACTCGAAGTTGTTGTGATTGTATGCGGCGCTGGGAGTATTGGCGGCGGTGATGGTGGATATCGGCGGAGAAACGGAGGAGGCGGCGGCGGAAGCTTGAATACGCTCGACCAGCCTGGGCATCCAGAGGAAACGCATGGTGTCTTTGAATTGCTTGCTGTTCACGTCACATTTGAGCTGCTTCGCGTGCTTCTGGACTCTTGTCCTCCAGTAGTTCTTGATCTCGTTGTCAGTCCTTCCCGGCAAGTACTGGGCGATTTTCGACCATCTGATCAGAAAGCAAGCACCATCATGAACGGATCCAGATTGAAGCAAGTAAAGGAGAAGCAGAAATGATAAGATATTTTGAATTGTAACTTAATAAAACACATCACATGGATATTTAATCTGTGGATCACCTGTTTCCCCAGCGAGAATGAAGCTCGAGAATCAGGAGCTGTTCTTCGAGGGTTATGTTTCCACGTCGAACATCGGGTCGGAGATAGTTGAGCCATCTCAATCTGCAGCTCTTACCAGTTCGTTTGAGGCCTGAAAATCATAAAGCAAAAGCAGATCGATCACCTGATTTTCTCAGATTGGTAAAGTTAACAAAGAGAAACTATTAGTGGAAAAGGAAAGAGCATTGTTGGCTTTCCGACTCTTTTCTTTGCAGGAAACTTAAACACACACACTTTTATGTGATTGGGTAAAATTGAAAAGATAACACATAAGATCAGTATCATCCTCGAATTGATTGGAACAGATAGGGATTGAGAGAATGAATGCATAAGGTACCAGCAGAGCGAGCGAGGGAGTTCCAGCGACCTTCGCCATGAGTGGCAATGTAATTGATGAGGGTGAGGTCTTCGTCGACGGTCCAAGGGCCTCTCCGGAGGTCCAATTCGTCGTCGTTTTGGATGTTGCAGCTGCTTCCTCCTTTAATGCCGCCAGCTTCCGAAGTATCCATGTCCATATCCATCAGGCCTCACTGTTTGATTGGAATCGAGAGCCTCGATCCACCCAGAAAGGCAGCTTTATTCTGATCTTAGTTTGAGAGAGAGAGAGAGAGAGAGAGAGAGAGAGAGAGAGAGAGAGACGATGGATGATGGAGAGATTTGGATTGTTACAGGGGGAGGATACACGAAGCGCGGGCCTTTTTATAGATAGCGAGATATTGATTTTTGATGCGCGACACACGAAATAAGATATATAGATACTAGAGTGGTATTTCTATTTACTATTTAGTTTCACTTGGATCGGGGTTTAGGATCCCATCCTTTTAAGGCAAACTAAGTTTTTAACATTCTACTACTCCTCTAGTGAAAGAAACTTGTTTATGACTGATCAAGAGATGAGTTTTATTGCTAAACAAATTCAAATTAAAAGATTATCTTCAATTAGATCTAACCATATTTGAATTCGACTACATGAAATCATATATATATTATTTTGTAAAAGTTATAGTCATAATAAAATGAGAAACTAATTTAGATAATAAAATTAAAAAACGTATGTAAACAACAATAATTGGATTTATTAAAAAGAACTAGTTCTTTATAATATGATGAATTAAAATTTGAATCTTTATTAGGGATTGTAGGCACATACATTTTATATCTAATCTTGTCTTTGATGTCTTTGATTGGTTTAATTTCCTCAATTAGAAAAATACTAAGTGCACACAAAATTTAAAAAAAATTGGGGTGTGATGGGTAGTTAAACTATTTAAAGCTCAATCAATCAGAACAAATAAAAGAGTGAGAAGAAGAGGAATCTAGGCCCATTTGGTTTAACTGATTAATAAAGTTGAATTAACTTATTTTAAAGTCTTAAGTTCAAGTTTCATGATATATAACTGTGTTAAATAAAAATGTTAAATATATCCCTGTTCAAGTAGTGGTTAGTTGCCATGAGCAATAATGATCTTATAGAATGAGGAATTTGATTAGTTTGGATGGATAATGGTAATATTTCAAGATTCTTAGATACTGAATAAAAATAAAGAAGAAGAGGAAGAAGATCATGTTAAGAGGCCGACAAATGCTCGTCTAGTTGATAAAAAGTTAAACAATACAATAAATATCACCTGAAGAAACAAGGAGATTACCATATCCCATTGTTGATATGAGAATAGTGTTGATGATAATTTAAAAGTATATATTTGTAAATACTTTTTGTATTTAAGGGCACGTTTTGATTTTATAAGCCCAAGATTCAACTTACATAAACTTTATTATATAAAAAAGAAATCTTAGCATAAAAAAAAATCATGTTAAGACTCCCGTTTCAGGTTTGATAGTGTTTAAATATGATCTAAAATCTAAATATTGAACAGTTTTTTTAAAAACACATAATGAAGCTAACTATACTGCAAATAATGATTGATCTAAACTAATGAAAGAGTTTTGGCCATAAAACTAGACCGTTTTACTTTAAAAATTTGAGTGTCTTTTATAAATCGTTTTAATACATTTATGATTATAGTTTTAATTAGTGCAGATAAAAAAGTTATTTTCTGTTTCTATCAAGTGAAGCTGTTTCTTTATCGCCGGATATTGACACATTTAGCCCCAACTCTACTTTTGAGTAAGATATTTTGGGCAGCAGTAATAACAACAATAACAATAAATAAATAAAACAAAATAAAATGGGTTAATGATGAAGGGTTGGAAGAAAGAAAGAGGGAGTACGAAGTTTGACTTGAGGTCTGCTGGGTTGTGAGGTTGGATTGTGTGGGCGTGCCAAACAACGAATCTTATCGCTTCCTTGCATCAGGGCTCTACAGGTGGCATGAAACCCGGATAAGCCTTGGCCCGCCTCTGCCGGGTTAGTCAGGCTGTTTGGGGTAGCGCGTGAAAAGGAATAAAATCTTAGTGTCTGTTCAGTGTTCCAACTATTTCTTGGGAGGGACAACGTTACTTGAGAAAGAATAACTCTTTGAACAATGTTTAAATACCAGCTGTAGAGATATTTTAGATAATTAATAAAAAAAAAAACTACCTGTTGGAATTGGGCAAAACAATATTTATGTTATTAAAAATTATTCAAAAAAGCTTTTACTTTCTTTTGCCTTATCTTTATTAACAAATATCTATAATTATTTTACTGAAATTAAGTAGAGGTAATTAAATCATTAACTTTGTTTAAAAATAAAATAAACTTTTAATTTTATTTATATTTAAATAAAAAATTTATAATTTTACATTATATCAAATGAGTCTAAATAAGAATAATATAATTAATACTTCATCAAATATTTTGTATTTAGAGTCAAAAATTCAAGTTGGGTGGACTCAATTCAGGCAACGTATGAAAAAGTTCAGGTAATTAAATTTGACCTATATACCAAAATTATCATTTTCCATATTTTTTTAAAAAAGTTATTTTTTATTGTTATATAAAATATAAAATATGTTTTTTCAGAATACTTACAAAATGTAGAAGGCTTAACTTTTTAAAAAAACACTGTAGGTCTTAAAATTTAAAATAAATATCAGAGTATGTTTTAAATATTATTTTAAGTCATTTTATAGGTTGAGACTAATAAAAATATTCATATTTTAAATTTTTTAAGAAAGTATCTATCACCATGTACTCGTATATATAGTCTCTCGATATAAAGTAAGCTAGGAATGAAAGAATGAATTAATATTTAATTTATTTTTTTAAAAATTAAACTCTTATTTGGATATTTAGGTAAAGCCAAAACCCAACGAGGTTTGATCATAATTTTTTTATTATTATTTAGATTTGGCTCAAATTACTAATTCTATTTATAGTCATGACTAAAAAATTATTATAGAAGATGCCTTGTAACAGAAACATGTAAAGTACTTTACTTAGCTACAAATGTAATTTTTAAAATTTCATTTTGTAAAAAAATTATTTTATACTTTCATTTTACGTTACATTTTATATACCGTATTATTTTTATAATCTTTATATATAATTCTTATTATTTTAGATTTTTAATCTCTTTCAAAATGTTAAATTTATTTTTAACTTAATATTATTTAAAATAATTTATAATTGTTATATATTAAAATAATTACTTTTGACTCTAACATTAATTTATAAAAAATTTAGATGATAGTAGTTATTTCTTTTTTGAAAACTTGTGATAAAAAAATAATTTTTGAAAAATAAAATTATATTTCATATTTTTTAAAAAATATTTTAAAATTATTTTAGATTGGCCCAAACTCAGCTCAAACATTCAAGCATTAAGCTAGTTTGAAGTAACACACCGGGGTAAAACATCGACAAAGGTGATATCTGGCCTAACTCAACTCAGATGCACTCATACCCCGCATCACAAAACCTATTAAATTTTAGATAATATTCATTCATACAATGTTCTTACTATGATCTCTTTTAAAACATGATTTATTATTTTCTTTGTGCACTTGGTTATCTTGAGCAATTGTTTTCTTTTACACAGTTTTTGAAAGATGAGTTATTATTGATGATTGATGAGTAATATAACTATTATAAGTTATATATTTTGCATATATAAAAGTAGCAAAAGAAGAATATAAATCTTGTATGAGCTCAAAAAGCCTTTTCATTTTGTATTGGATTCACAACTAAGCTGAATCATCTTTTTCGTGTTTATTTTTTATCCATAAGATTCCAAAATTTTAAAGGAACATATTTTACCATTCATGTCAACCGGTATACAGATGTTGTGCCCGTGGCTAACTTTTAAATCTTCCTGATAAGAGCACATTGGATTTCAAATGTGGATTTTTAAAGAAACCGAAATTCCTTTTTGTTAGGTATTTAATTAATGACATGACTCAAAAGAGGAAGTTAATCTCTGTTGGAAACTTAGCATCTTATAATTCACACAAAGGGTTAATTAAGTTTCTAAATTTCAATAGTTGAATTTATATCTAGTTAATTGATCACGTCTAGATCTTACTACAAATTATCGTGATATTATCAAACTCATTCACTCACACTTAAAATTATTTTTGTTAATTATGCGTGAGTGTCATCACCCACAAGATTTCCAGTTCCACTGGAATTGGACCACCCTTATAAAATGACAGAAATTACAAAAGAAAGTGATTTCGTTTCACTCATATCTCTTCACTAACTAAATAGAAAAGAATATCATTTTTGGGCTGATTTGTTTTGTGCACTGTAGGGAGCTGAAATAAGCGAGAGAAGAATAATGGCGTCTTAAGAGACAACTTATGAAAATTAATTAATTAATTAATTAAAAGAGAATGATTCGCTCATGTGATCCACATGGAATGTATACCAATCTTCATTCTCTTTACATTTAATAAAAAACCGCTCTAATTCTATCTCTGCCCCTCAATCAAAATCTAACCGTTGCTGTCGTCTACTTAACGGAATATTTATTTGTTTTTCATGGAATGTTTTTCATTTAAAAATGATATTATTAGTTAGTGAACTCTAACTCTACTCTACGTCTTTATTAGTAACACAGGTCAATATTAAATTTTTGATTATATATATTATTCTATATAGTTAGGATAGTTATAATTATTATTATTATTATTATTATTATTATTATTATTATTATTATTATTATTATTCATTGATAGATCTTCTTTTAATACATATATCTCATATTGAAATTAATAAAACAAGTCATTATTTTCACAAATTATGATATGGTACCCTGTTAATGGAATTGCTCAATCCTCATCTTCTACTGCTTCTTTGCCATTCTGATCAATACAATGTGCTTCTTACTCTTGTGCAAACCCCTGCACTTGTTACTTCACAACCTCCTTTGGCACAAGTTAATCTTATGATTGCCTCTCCTTCCACTCATTCTCTTAATACATTTTTAACACTAGGTATATTTTACTTACTTTTTTCTAAATGCCTTTCGTCTACCTGGATCATTGATAGTAGTGTGACCAATCATATATGTTCTTTTATTGATCATTTCTTTGAATTAGTTTCTATTTCTCCTATTTCTGTTCAGTTACCTAATAATTTTGCTATTCAGGCTCATTATTCTGAAACCATTTATCTTTCCTTAGATTTTTATCTCAGCAATGTTTTGTTTATTTCTTAGATTGACTATCATTTAATTTTTTTTCAAAACTTACTTTTCACCTTCATTGTT